AGAGATGAACTGGCCTTTCACACTGACAACCCTACTAAGAGATGATTTTCCAGCTGAGAAACTAGTTACCTTTCTGTCAAAGACGGACATCATCGTCAAGCTCTAAAGAACAATACCACAAGCTCTGACCAAAGCACCAGATGCCCAAGAAGGCTGGTGCTAAAAATTCAAAGAGATTCAACGAGAGAGAGTCGCAGCTGAACTTGATACAAACTACAAAGGCCTGATGGAGGAGGCAACTTTTGCAGAAATGTTCAGCATGCAATAATAAAAGCAACAGTAATCTATTTAAAACAGACAAATCGCCTGGCTTCTCTGTAATGCACAAGTAACATCTTGGTTTGAGCTCAGATCCAAAAGCTATAAGCCATCCATTGAATAAGATCTCAAAGAACCAATGAAATAATACTGAAAGTTCCCAAGTAAATCCTGCTGAGTCCAGGTGTAACAAGTGGTCATTGGGCAGCTACTTCCTCACCTTCAAGCTGCTAACAACAACAACAAAGGCCTGACGTCTGAAGATCTTTTTCAGTGTCTGTGTCACCACGCTCCAAATCCAAATTGAACGGCTGGCCTATAGTGAGGTAATTAATCTTTGCACCTATAACCGGCTACCACGACCACTAAATCCAAATTGACAACTTGTCTCCAACATGGCAACATACTGACGACTGTCATCACCAAGCCATGGGCCATGGTAAGCTATCATGACTCGCGTCATTGTCGCGATGTCAATTGATCGTATAGTCCCATGGTTGAACTATATAGTTCAACCTTGGTAGAAACTATTGTTGAACTATATAGTTCAACCATAGTTTCTGCTAGTTCAACCATCAAACCATGGTATAGTCCTATCCTATCTCCTAGCCCTAGACTCCTATGGCGTTAACGAAAATATAGCATGGCCGCACCTACCTAGAGCCTGAGTAGAGGCTAGTTATCTTCACACACCATGGGCCATGGGCTAAGGCTAGATGGAAATGAATCAAGCCATAAAAAGTACAAGAATTGGACACTGGACATGGGCCTAGCTATTTCTTCAATCTTCAGTGCCGACACTTCTATTCTATTCTGAGAGTTCCAAAACTTAAAACTACCCAAGCTCTCGGTAGAATTTACGCTTTCCCTTTACCACGTTTTACTGTGTTTGAATGTTAGATTGATTCAGACCAGTGGAATACTAAAGCCAGTTAAAGTAATTTTTGTGCCAAGTCATCTTCTTCATGGGTTGTTATTGACCAAGGCAGATTTGTTTTTCTGACCTAGTGCCTTTTGCTGACTAACCTGCTGCATTAAATGAACCTGCTTTCTGGCTATGCTGATATCAAGACTGACCTGTTGCTGAACTGCTGATAATGCTTTTCTTGGCTCTTTAAATAGGTGAGTAAAGGGAATACTCTTGCCACGCATCTCAGTCCTAAATTTTAATTATTGAATGTTATCAGTAAATGTTTGTACATATAATCAATCATCCCTTAAAGTTGTTTTACAGTTTTGCATTAGGTAGATCAATTTGTTCTTATGTGTTCCTAGTGTACTTATGTGTTTCAACTTCCAAGTGTTATTGTTGGATAGGTTTTATGTGTTCTTGTTCCTGCACTTTTGCAGAGCGGCCAATGTGGGGCATATTCCTGTCTCTTATACACATCTAGATGTGTATAAGAGACAGGGCCTAGAATATGCCCCACGTTGGCCGCTCTGCAAAAGTGCAGGAACAAGAACACATAAAACCTATCCAACAATAACACTTGGAAGTTGAAACACATAAGTACACTAGGAACACATAAGAACAAATTGATCTACCTAATGCAAAACTGTAAAACATTCATTTGGTCTATTCATTTGATCAAAACTGTCATTGGTCTATTTGGTCATCTGTATTCTGTATTGGTCACTAAGCAGTAAGCTGACCTGGCCTGACCAGACCAAAGCCTACAGAACTTTAGCTTAGCTGCTTAGGTACCTTCCTGGGCTTCCAAGTGATCCAACATGACTGTCCACCCTCCAGCTGCACTGTGGATTGGACTGTGCACTGCCATACTGGTCACTGAACACCCTACCCGGCTACCCCTAGCCTGGCTGGCCTGGGCTGAATAGTGAAATAAATAATCTGTAGCAAGGACAGAAAACAGTCAGCAGCTGAGCAGCATAAAGTAATTTTTTTTATTTAGTTGCTACCTACTAACTGGCATTCATATTTTAATTTGATCACATTTATCCTACACACTTTTCACAGGCCATAAATCTGTAATGGCAGATGCCAAAAATGGTAGTCCAGATGCAGAAGCATCATTGGATTTTCATGAATTTATTTGCCCCATATGTGGAATAAATGAAGTCTCTCCTATGAAGCTGGAGCTCCATGTAAATCAGGTTGGTCTTATAAATAAATGATTTTCAATGATTTACCTCAATAGGCTCAATTCCACCAACCACCATTGCACTGTATTGCCAGTTGCCCAGTTGCCACATTAGTTGCTGCTTAGCAATGGCCTGCCGCTCATTACTAAAACTTCTAATAATACTGGACTACTGGTTGTTGCAGGTTGTAGTCACTGGTCAGTGGTCAGCAAGCAACTGGGTGGCCATGGCTGGAGGGACTTGTTAGAGTACCAAGCTATTTTTTAGACTTGCTGTTTCTGCTCACAAATCTCTTGCCCATGTCATTCATAAGCTGTTGACTCAGCATCTGAACTTCTGAAGCAGAGTCTCAGTCACACAGTAGACTCAAAGCTAGCTAGGCCTGCTAGTAAATACATGGAGATTTGTATCCAGAAACAACTCCCTGGCAGTGGCACTATCAGGTGGCAAAAATTTGTTATTGTCTCATCCAGCCTGGGCCTGGCCCAAATCTATAGAAAACTTACAGTCCTGTTTTTAAAACCTCATGAAATGAGCAAAATAGTTTTTTTGACTGCTTCATATTTAACAGATGTATATATGTTAAGTTTAACTATAAATTCCATGTTAATAACCCTCTAATCAAATAATATCCCTCAATTGATCAATTTCATTATTGAATATTTTTTATTATTGAGTATATTTTATTATTGAATATAAATGCTTAAAACCTTTCTTAAATTTATAGATACTAATAATATGACAAATTTTGGTGAATGCAAACCAAACAACATTCTGAGTCTGAAGCTATTAAAATAAATGAACCAATTTATAAATGAATAATATGCATTTAAAAATTATTTTTTAAAGACAACACTTCTGAAGAATCCAGTGCCTTGGATGTTACACATGCACAATGAATTTCTAATTTTATTTTCAAATATTAGTAAAATTCTTTTTTCAGAATTTTGTTGAGATATCAAAATTTTATAAATTTTTACAATTATTTATTCTGTCAACTGATTCATGCATTGTCTCTGACTAGAGATTCACTGGGGAGCCAAGGGGGGCGCCAGCCTGAAAAAGTTTGGGAACCACTGCTTTAGAGCAAATGGGAATAACATCTGTATGGATTTAGATATTTTTATAATTGATAGATTCTTCCCCCTTTACTGTGATTCTCCATTAAAAATGAATAGGAGTTGAAACTCTGACTTAATAAATTAAGTGCTTAAGAACTTGCAAAATTTTAGATGAAGATTAAACTTTTTGACTGATCCACATTAGATTTAGAAATAAGTTAGATAGGTATTGGAATTAAAGGAAGACTTTTAATTTGTAACAGGATATTGAAAGACAACAAAATTTATGGGTGTCGAAGTCTTGAAATATGATGGAAGTAGATACTAGATTTAGGTTATGAAGTGATATATTTGTTATTAAAATTTTTGGGTCTCCAATTTAAGATATTTAAATTTTTCAATTAACTTCTCATTGTTCAAGGCACTGGGTAGTTTTAATTTTCTGAAAACACTTTGTACTGTTCAATTCTTCTTTTTGTTGATATTTAGAATATGGAGCATAAACTCTAAAATTCCAATGTGTCCTACTCTATGGATCAGTTNGCCTAATGGAAACCTCATGTGAAGAACTTTGTACCTGTCTCTTATACACATCTAGATGTGTATAAGAGACAAGGTGTATATAGTGACATGCAAAAGTATTGAATAAATTAAAGTTTCCTTCATATCTCAAGTTAAAGTGCAATATTTTGCATAATATTTGGTCAGTATATTGCTAATGGTACTAGAAATATTATTTAGAAAGGATATTGAACAGTAAGCTTTGTTTAGATTTTATTCAATTACTTTCTTTTTGCATTTGGTTTTCAAGTACAAACTAATTACAAAGTACATAACTGGACAAGAATTTGTCTTAGATTTCTAACCTTTGTCCTGTAATGTTACCAATTTTGTCTGGCTATTGACCTAAACTTGAATACTGTTGAACGGGGTAATAAGGGACAGTTTTGAGAATTTTTTGTTAATAACTTCTTACCATGAAACATTTCATAAATGAGTTTGGGCTCATTTTAAAGGTCTTTGTGAGGGCAATTGTATGGCATCTCAAAAAATTCCATATGCTATTCGTAAGGTGCTAGACACAATATAAAAGGCTCCTGAATTAATCTGGAAATGGGGTAATAAGGGACAATTGAAATAAAACTCAATTTTAAAATGTTTAAAGCATGCAGAGTGTACTCATCTATTACTAACAGTACTCTGAAGTCCTCCTCTTCCTTTGTAGATGATGTAAATGTAGAATAAATTGTAAAAAAGGACCGGACATGGGGTAAGACGGGACCACTAAATGATCCTGTTTTACCACACAAGTGGTCCTATCTTACCCCACAAATGGTCCTGTCTTACCCCACAAATGGTCCTCGATTACCCTACAGTTTATCAAAAATAGTTTTTAAATGAATATATTATTGAATGAATATATTATTTGTCAAAATTTTCATCTTTTGCTCAAACTTCATTATAACTTGTTAGCTTTTTTAATTAGAGAAATTTAGTGCACTATTTTAAATTGCATCAAAGGGATATAGAAAATAGGGATGTCTATTCCCATTAGTGAGCTGCAGAACTATGTGCAAGATTGTCAGGGAGAAAAATCATTGTGTGAAACATGAAAAATAATTATGATCACAACTCTGTGAGAGGGCATGAGCTATGTTAGAAGTGCACCACAAATGCAGTTAGCAAGAAAACGCATGACGTCTGACACTTGAGTTATTATCCATTGGTTTTATTACCAATTTGATAAATTTTCAGACAATGACACTAATGGAATATGCATGAAGCATCTAACAGTGCTCTACAATGAACCAAAGCCAACCTACTATTACTATGCTTAACAAAGTTTTCTCCTGACAAAAACTTCAATGTTTTAACCTAAAAATGACACTACATTTCCATGAAATGTTGGAGGACTGTCCCTTATTACCCCACCCGTCCCTTATTACCCCATTTGACGGTATGATTTTAAGTATTTATGGGAAATATACAAGTGCTACATTAAATTTTATTCATTTCAGGTTCATTTTAGTGAAGCATCTGATGATCCCTCGATCATGTGCCCTCTCTGTCCAGCCTCATTCAAATCCATACAAGCAACTGAACAGCATGTGAATGATGTACACTCTGATACTACTGAAGGAGAGGTGAAATTTGCCTGCATTTAACTGGTCTAGCATATAAAATTTTTAAAGTGTCAATATAGTAAAGATTCAATGTGAGGATGACTTATTTTTTAAATGAAAATAATTATTTTCTCCATGATTTGTTGGAAAAATGTGTGTCATGGTTTGAATTTTAATCAATGTACCACTTTACTCAGAGGGACTTGCCAAAAGCTGTTCAAGTATCACAAGACCTGCCAGGAAGAATCTCAAGTAAGGGTGCTACTGGAAGCAGCTTTGATAGCATTGAAGATACTGGTGTTTGTCCAGTGTGTTTACGTAAAAACTTCACAAATAGTGCATTGCTGGCTGAGCATCTGGAAGAACACTTCAACAGTGCCAGCCATCAACAAGGTGAGTAGTTGACTAGTTGACCATCACCCAACTTATATTTTTCATTAAAAGACAACACCTAGAGTAACTTTATGCTTATGCTTTCTAGTTTCTACTTCAAGGATCATATTTTGTTTAATCTATTAATGTAATTTTGATATTTTAAAATTTATTCATTATATAGAAATAGAATTAAGTATATACCTACATATAATACATATATAAATATAATTTTGTTGGTTCTAAATTTTTACTTGAAAAATGTAAGCTTAATTGTCACTGTTAAAAAATTGCAGCATATATCTGTATCAATACACCTTTTTATTATTCTTTTAGTTATCCTCCTTGTTATGAACACTAAGCATCAAATTAAATTAAATTTCTCATAGGGAATGGATCAACTAGTGCCATCTCGCTCACATCAAAAGAAAAAAGCCTGAAACAAGTTTTAGAAGAGCAAGAATTTGCTAAACTGCAGGCAAGTACTGTCCCCTTCAAGTACTGTCCATTTTAGATTCCCTACAATATTCACACTAAATTCACATTGAATACTTTGCAGCTTAACATTTTATTAATTGGCATGCTTTATGGCAATACTATTTGTAATTTGTCACTTTTGCCTAATGGAAACCTCATGTGAAGAACTTTGTACAGTATCACTCTGTACAGAAAGAATGATTATAAATTTTGAAAAAATTCTTGTAAATCTTGAAAAATAACATTTACCAAAATTTAATATCTTTAAAAAAGCTTTTATGTATTTCAAAAAAGCATTTAGCTTTGAATTAAAAGCTTAGAACTAGAAAAGACTTGCAGACAGTTATACAAACATGTAAAAATTGTTTACAATTTATCTAACTGGTAGAAGTATTTTTATTGTACAGAATTTAAAAGTACCTGGCTTCAAGTTATTATTTACAGGCTCATATCAAACTTGAATATTTGTTGAATGCATCTGTTATTACTTGTTACGAGATACACTTGTATGTACTAATTTCCAAGTTTTGCTTGTATATACTTCCAGGAATTATTTTGAGCTAAAATATTGTCATTATTTTACTCTTTTGAAGTGTTTATTGATGTATAATAACCTTTGTTTTGACTTTTTATTGCTACTTTATGGTCTTCATTAACTTCAAATCAAATAATTTTTACATGCAGGCTAAATATGGCATGGATGACAACATGAGCCATCAGCAGCAATCTGAGCGTGCCATGGAGCGCGCTGCCTACCGCGGCCAGCTCAACATTGCAGACATGTATGAGCAGCGCATCAAACAAGCACAAGCCCATAGCACGGGACTTGATGATAACTCGACTAGAACCAAAGGTGCAGTAGTGCAAGTCATGCTTATGTAAGAAATGTTCAATTTGGCAGTCTTGTGGGTGTAATATAAGTGTTTTATTATTCATTTGAAGTATTAATTCATCAAAACACTTTGGCTATTAACTTTTCAATGTTCCAGCATACCGCTGGATTAAATCCAAATTGCTGTTTGATTATTTTTAAAGTATCTTTATTCTTTAGTCTTTACTCCTCCTGTGTTTCTTGGGTATATACTTATTGGGAACTACGGTATAGTTAAGATCACATATATGGGATCAGCAAGTTATGGGTTCAAAATCACAGCTAGCTGTGAACATTGCACTTGATGTCGGGCCAAACATGGCCTAATATGCAATGCTGACTATTTTAAATCATTATGATCATTATTTTTAGCACACATTTTTCTTATCATTATCATTAAGGGTTAAATTTGTTAGTTTTAGTGTGCTGGTATTCTGGATTGGCTGAGAATGAATTAGATTTGTGTTATTGTTACTAAGAACGTATGCTAAATCTTGAAATATTGAATCAAATTTAGGCTAAAAAGTTGTTAATTATATTATTTTTAAATATTGTATTTAGCTTCATTAGGCTTAAAGGTGCTAGTTTCATGTTAGTTTTTCTCCTTTTTTTATTGCTTCTATTATTTGCATTCCACTACAATTTCATTGTTTGCATGCCGATTGTTCAGGCATTATTGAGAAGCTCTTGCCAGTCAGCCTACAGTGGCGGGATGTTAAGAGCGTTCACTTGTGCTCAGCAGTAGACCATTTCTCCAGCAGCTACGGCGACAAGGGATGGGGCTGCGGGTACCGGTGAGGAACTATATTGCCTTCCTCAAAATTAACAATCTTGTATAAATGAACTTGGTTGGAAGTATATCAAAATTTAGGTCTTTCAAATTTACTGTTTCCTAAGCATATTAAATCAGGCAGATAATGTATTAATTCACATTTATAAAAATTTTGTTTCTCTTCTCCGTTCAACAAAGCTCTATTGTTACACTGATGACTGTGCAGTATGCCACAGGCAACCTGATATGCTACGGTTTACTATAGGCGGCCTGACATGTTACGGTTTACTATAGGCGGCCTGACATGTTACGGTTGAACTTCTCTCACCGCTTTGCATTTTAGGTAGTATTCCTTCATATACTTTCCCAACCAAATTCTCCTAACGTAATTGGAATGGACCGCAAGAAATTCCTACTCAGCCGGAAAACTCCACTGTACTAGACAGGTCCATTTTGTACCAAATTTGGTACAATCCACAATTGTGGTGTCCACAAACAGTTGTAAGAACGGAAGTAATATCTTGCTCTATATTATTAGTCTATAATAACTCTTTGTATTCTAACCACTTTCAACTTCAAATCTAACAAAACGCTGTGTCATGTAACCTTAAGTTAGTACTCATCCACTATTCACACTCTATTTAAGCCATGACAAATGTAGGATCTATTGGCTGGACTGGATTAGTGTTAGAAGGTAATATTAGTAAAATAATGAAGAGATTATTGTTGTGGACCATTAATGTTGTAATTATTAATGAAATGCTAGGGATGATCAGATCACTTCAGCACCTCTCTCCTTACTTGCATTCCATTCTGAGTCTTAATGCTTCAAACATTTTTAATAATTTTGAACGCTCCATCTAAAGTATTTCCTGATTACAGGAATGCTCAAATGCTGCTGAGTTCTCTCCAGTGCGAGGAGAAGTATAGGAACTGCTTAGGTCTCCCCGAAGGCGCGGTGCCTTGCATCTCTGCTCTACAACGTCGCATTGAAGCAGCCTGGACAGAAGGCTTTGATTTGCAGGTCTGCTTGTACTGCCTTTGAAACTATCCACTCATGATAAAAGAATTATGAACTGAAGTTTGTTCTCCATTAATGCAGGTAATCCCACGAATAATCCAGAAAATTAATATTTCAGTGAATGATTGTGTTTGATTTAATTTAGAGTCCAATAAGCGCACTAATTGGCCCGGACTTGCCTACATTAATCTTGACTCAACCTACGCTACTAAACCTGTGTACAGGGTCGTGATCAGCTTGGCGGCCGCCTCCTGAACACGAGGAAGTGGATTGGGGCTACGGAGCTGGTGAGTCTTCTTTCGTCGCTACGTATCCGCTGCAAGCTCCTGGACTTTCATCAACCTTCAGGCCCTGGCTCCACTCACCCCGCCCTCTTCCAGTGGTGTCTCGAGTACTTCTCTGCCACCAGGGACTTCACGCTGCCTCTCTATCTCCAGCACCAAGGTACTTAATGCTATCTTGCTTCATAGACGCTTCGGATACTTGCATAGGCAGACCTAGATATATACTGCAGGGCGGTCCTGATACGTTCACTTAGCCTAAACGTCCAGGGCTTCAGGTATTGTTCACGTTGTGGTTACTCCCCTCAGCTTCAATTTTAGTTTTTTTTTAACTTAGGCATCGTCTGAAGTTAGTGCTCTCTTTATAGAGCGCAAAAAAAAAACTCCGTAAGCCGAATATCACCTTGGCATTGGAGGCAATTTGTACTCTACCCTTACAATTTCATCTCAGTGCCATATAAAAAATTTTTTTATGGTATAGAAGCATTCATGCTCATCTAAAATTAGTGGTTGAGTATTATTCTTAACAATAATCGACTTCGGTGTTCTAACTCGAACTGCAATGCCTAGTTTTAGAAATATATTCATATACTTATTTACCCTCCAATTCTTAGAGGTTGAATGGTAGATATATCGTGTTGAAACGGTATATATGGTCTGCTGCTAATAAATTTTAATTGACTAATGATCTTGGCTTGCTGCAATTCCTGAAACGATTCTACATCTGCTGCAGGTCACTCGCGCACTGTGATCGGGTGTGAGGTGCTCACTGACAACGTCAAAGGCAGAGACTCTGTCATAAGGCTGCTCGTTTTGGACCCTTCATTTTCCCCTGCTCAAATTTCTCCGCTCTCTGCTCATCTTGAAATTTCTAAAGAAAACGATCCTACAAATTCATCAGCTCGTGGTAACTCTTCTAGAGTAGACTACCAGACTCCGACTCAGAGTATGGTGGGTTACACTCTCTCTGGAGAACGCGTTGTTGACACGGAATGTCACGAGTGGCTTTTTCAAAGCAGGGGCCGAGGAAGAGGCCGAGGTCGTGGTCGCGGTAGAGGGTTTACTGCAAACAAAAATGAATACGGTGGAGAAAGGACATTCACTGTGGCTTCGGCTCTGCGGAGCCTGAGGAAACCTCTTCACAGTCTCTGTCAAGACCAATACCAAATTGTTGCTGTCACTGGCGTCATGGAAAACGAAGATGAGTTCCAGGTACATAAGAACATTTGTTTGTTGAACTAAGTAATGTAAATCATATTCATAGTGGGTTTGATTATAATAATCAAACGTGATTTCATGAATATTCAACAGATCTCATCCAACCAATTGATACAATTCATTAGAAACGTTAATTTTCTAGGTCAGAGTTTACGTATTTTGATACTGAACAATAACTTTTGTCCTGATTTGCAGAGAAGCAAAGTGCTGCGGTCAACTCGTCTGCCGGAATCCTGATAAAAAGTTTCAAAGTTTATCTATTCGTACTTTGATGGGCGGCTTTCTGATAGGCCTACGTAAATAGAAGTCAGCTGCCCTTTTGTACTGGATAAATACTTTCTTGTATATAACATAACAACTAAGGCCAAGTCCTAAATTTATTGTGATGTACTGAGAGCCTCGGCATGGCTTGAACTCATGATTTCTTTGGTTAGTTCATTGTAAACCTTGTCCAGAGGTCAAATTTTTAGTTCGGAGCAGCAAACATCTGAGCAGCACTTAGAGAAACTGTTACTTTATGGTTTTTACGTGCTGCAAGGATCAAAGTTTATATAGGTAATGTTATTTATAGAAAATTTCTCCAATGTTTTTAACAGACTTTTGATTCACATACTGTGAGAATATTTTGTATGTAGTACATTTTAATATATTGTAATACGTATTCACCGAGTATCTTCTCCATTTTGTGCTTCTCGGCCATTTCTATAATACGGACAAATCATACTTTTTTTCATTTGTCTCCAATCGTCCATGAAAACGTGACTACAGGAACGAGGGAGGTTTTAAATTCACTATCGTCAAATTTTTTCTTGTGTTGCCAAAGATGTGATGTGATATTTGTTGTTATTGTGAAGGAGCTCTCTGAAATTGTAATCACTATTAGTAAGTATTCATGTATATATTATGTGAATTTATGTTAGTAGGCTTTTCATTCGATTGAACACATAGCTTGGAATCTGTAGTGAATCATTGTCTATCAAGCTATGCAGTCTTTGTGTGAATTGTGTGGAAAATCTTAGCCTTTGTGATGGTCTAACATGTGCATCTTGATTCTTTTTTTCTCGCTTGAAAACGTTCTTTGAAAACGATATTACAATTTTTATGTTTCTATTGTGGTGTCATTAAAGTAAAACACTTCGTCGGTTCGCAGAAAAAAATATCACTCGTACTTTTAAACGAAATGTGGCCGTAATTGCGCTGTCTCGATTCTCCGCAATTTTACAATATGAAATACAGTTTGAGCGATGTTTCCTCATGCATCTTCTAAACTATGGGGTTAAACCTCCTGCCCATGCCTGACTTAACATACGGCGAGCAACCTAGTCCACTCAGTGGCTCGAAATTTTTGCTCCAACCGTCGCCGACGTAAGAAAGTATATGCAATAATGCAGAAGTCATTTTGGCAATTCATCTACACTAAACCCATTTTGGCAATTTATCTGCACTAGACCGTCTTTCGATAATAAAAAATGCTTGTCGGAATACATTTATTTGTGTCTAAGTGTTTCAAAATAATAAAATGCTATCACAAACGTCCTCAACGACCTTGTTGGCAAGATATATCTTCTATCGAAGCGCGACGACTCAAACTCCACTGACGGTAGTTTGGTGAATAGTTATGTTTCGATGGCACTAAGTTGCGGACAGTATTACGTGATAGACATTGGAACTTTAAAATCAGATCGTTTCCAAACTAATGAAAATATCGGTAGAAAATGCATGCATTTCTTTGTGGAACACAACACCTAATTTCATAATAACGAGTTAATCGTTAATCTTTAGTGCGCGGTCTATTGTTGGTGGTCTGGCAACGAGTTGGATGGTCTGAGAGTCCGAGACACGTAGCTGGCTGTAAAAATTCTGTGATGTTCAAAAATCGATGACATTCCAAACATGGTCTTATTTTCGAAATTAATGATATCGTATTATTCAATCTATGTAACATAGCGATCTCGGCCCTGAAGTGTAGGCCTGATGTGGCCTATCGCCGATTCTTTTATTTTCGTGACTTGTTCACAGAAGATCTAAAATTGTGTCATTTGACCGGATCTTTTCATGACTGACGATAGTTTGAAGTAGCTACTAGACTTCCACCGGGTTCGATATGGTGCTAGGAATTTCAAATCTGAACATATATTTTTATATATGTTGTTATTATATATGTATATTTTATATATGTTATTATATACATAGCTTTATCTCTGTCTCTTATACACATCTAGATGTGTATAAGAGACAGGTCAATGGGCGGGCCAGAACGGTTGCTAATTCTTTGAGCAATCTGGGATGGAAGCCGTCTGGTCCACATGACTTGTTGGGATTTAGAGCTACCAGGAGCTTGAGAACCTCTTCTTCGTGTATTTCAAGACATGTTAACGTCAAGCCGACTGGGCGTTCCTCAATATCTGGAATACTGTTCAAGTCCTTATCTGATCTATGAACACACTGTTGAAGGATCAAAAGGCCAGTCGTTTAGATCTGTGAGCTTATCGAGAAAAGTACAAGAATCGGCGACAGGCCTGTCCAGGCCTATTATTCAACGCCGAAGATACTATACTATACTAGATGCAGAAGTGATGAAGCTGTTGTTCGTCGGAAACGCCGTGTGGTAACCAAAATTAGAAAAGGACAAAAATTTAGTCGAAAGCGTTCAAAGACGTGCAACAAGGATAGTTCCGGGATTAAAAGGCAATTCTTCTGAAGAAAGATTAGAGATTATGAAGCTTCCAACCCTCTGTTATCGACATCTGCGTGATGCTTATACAAGGTCCCAGAAGGAGTCCTGTATAAGCCCAAGTCTTATACAAGGTCACAGAAGGAGTAACACATCCATGCGACAACATTTCTTCTCGTTTCGAGTAACCGACATGTGGAACAGCCTCCCTGATGGCATCGTTGACGCTCCGAGCATGAACGCCTTCAAGAACAGACTAGACAAAGCTACGCAGTAGCATATGTTCAGTTTTAAACTGCCTACACCTTACGGACTGTAATAAGTCCAGCAGATATCACAAACAATTTCTTCACGCACGGCCGAGTGCCGACACTTCTATTCTATCTTAATGTCAACTCGCCTCAATGAAGAAGTCATTGTTTCGAATAATAATAATGAATAAAAACTTCTGGTTGACTCGAAAAGTTTAGACATACATGCATTTGCTTTTGTTAAATCTTGAACTGCTCTGCAGGATCAACCCGACCTCAGTTCGCAATCCCGGTGCTCATAACAAGTTAAACTTTTCTGCTAGGTCTGACTCCATAAGGCCTTGATTGTATAATAATTTGTCAGTCGTCCAGGATACAAAACTGATATACGCTTATTATTTCCTTTAATTTACTTAAATATTTAGGTTCCAATAAATCGACTATCGAATTAGTTTCGTTAAAACGTCATTATACTACTGAAATATTTGACATAAAATAGAACTTACAAATTCTGAAATTGCTAAGTTATGAAATCTCATAGGTATCATAAATGAATTATTCATCATATATGAATCAATCATTAGTACGATGCCTGCACAGAGTCCAGATTCGGTTGTTTAATATAAATTGTAAATTTGCATATAAATAGTGAATGAAATATAATATTTTACATTCGCATATTGACAAGGTTTCGGATTTATTTCCTATTCTGTAAAGGTCGCACGTGAATCATGGCTGAAATCAGCTGTGGAACTTGTCAAGATTAGACTCCCTCGCAGTCGCATTCGTTAGCCATTCTTCGTTGCGGTGTGTCGGAGGTGCGTGGTGTGTTTCGTGATTTCTTGTATTTAGCTGTGATAATTTGGAATTTTAACAACTTCTGCAGAATACATTTGACGTAAATATGCTTGTGTTGGTTGATGAATATTTGTGGTTTATTCATATACAATCCTTTTATCATTAATAAAGGAGTATCAGTTTTATTCCTGCATGACTTGCTTCTACAGTGCAATCCGCCATATTGGACTGCACGAAACCGACAATTCTTCGCTTTTATACCAAATTATACATTTTTCGTCAATTCTCTAATGTAAATACTCAAATAAAATATAAATAATTTTGCAAAGAATTTCAGTAAATTTCCGACGATCAACTTCTATTCTTTATATTCTACAGTACCGGTTAACTAAATACTTAACTTAAAACTTGATCATTATGAACAAAGGGCCTGGAAAACTTTCTAAAAATCCAATAAATAAAAGAAAAATAGAAAATATCTATCAAACAAGAGACATCCAAATTATTCTATAACAAACCTGATGTACTATACAATTGAAACAGTTGGTCCACTTATGATGATATGATCCATCTTTACATTTATAGTCAGTAACATGGGAGAGCACTGTATCAAAGGAAAGCTTTTCACATTGTATGGAAAGCTTTTTTATAAGTGAACTTCCATTCTTAGAATTCCAGCCTGCTTATAGCCATATAACTCAAAAACGAAGGCAAATCTGAAAAAAACTAACAAGCTAAAGCATCACGGTTGCTCAGGTAAGGTATTAGTTCAAATCTGTTCACAGTTCAGTAGTTTGGAAGAAATTTCTTGGTTACTGCTAATTTAGGCATGTATTGCTGTTTAAATCATGAATGAAGCATGAAGGTAAAATGGAAGAAAAAACTCGATCAAGAAAATTTTCACAAGCTAAACATTACCATTTGGTAGTTAGGACTGTAAATTCAAAATTTTGTTTAAATCTGGTGCCATATTTGAATCCCGTATTGCCATATAACTATGGCAAAAACAAATGATGGCAAAATTCAAAAAATTTTCACAAGCTAAACATTACTGTTAGGTCCTAATGAATGCGTGTACCAAATTTCATCAAGTAAAGTTCATTAGTTTGAGAGATATTCCATGATCATTGAATTTGGAAATTTAGTGTGAGACCGGCTAATTTGTCCAAGACGTAAACCCAGGAAAGGTTAAACAAAAACAGATCTGGGTGAAAAAAAAACCATTGCTGGGAGTCATGTGCTGCACGTGTTGTGTACAATTTGTCAAACAGACATTTGAACTTCTGACTTTGACTTTGGACTGCCGCCTCCCTTACTGCGCTTTTCTTCCTCACCACCCCCAAAATCATTCCACCGCCTCTAGGAGGGTGATATCGCCCACTTTGGGAACCACTGATCTAATGTATTAAACGTAATGTATACTAAAGTGCTACTGAACTCTCAGCTGCAAACGTTAAAGTATGTATCTAAACTTCAAGCTGCAAGCAGGATAACAATACCTTAATTAAAGTACCTAAAATGCAACTCAAGTTACCTCCATGCTCAAATAGCTATGCTCTAATAACCAAATTGAAATGACTAGTAACATGTAAAAAAATTATAAAATGGTCATCATCATATAATGATATAAGTAGAGACAAAACTATAACAATTTTTTGGTGTACACTCATTTTAAACGCACTACACAGCACATTACATTTCTGAATTCTGACAAGTGCAATGATACAATTTAAAGACTTAGATTATGATAGAAGACATTTATTCAAACATGACACATCTGAATGATTTGATCCTTACTATATTCTCTAGTTGCAACAAGTCCTACTTTTGTCCAAAATCTTGCAGTTTTAATATTGTGTCAGTAGCCAGTAGGCATGAAATCTTGCAGCTCTAAGTCTATACGGTACTCTAATGCAACAAATTTTTGTTTGATTTTTTTCCATTTTTTTGGACTGAGCTATAAAAATTTCATCAATCAAGTTTAAAGGCCAAGACCTGTCTGCAAGTTTTTTTAAGCAAAATTTTTTAATACAGCAAATATTTTATTAACTACAGAGTACAGACCTTAGCAGAAGTACATTCCCAAAATCTCACTTTTAACACTTTTTTCAGGTATTTTTTCTAGAGCTAGTATATGTAGGATTTCTTAACTTCCTTTATGCTTCATAGAATAAAAAAAAATGTCGAAGTTTACACACTATTTTAAGTTTTGCAATATTTCAATTTGTTTTGGTGCTATAAAATTTTTACGCTATGTCAGAGCCTCAGAGGACTGTCCCAATTTACTCTGTCCATCCCTTATAACCCTGTTTAATGGTACTCCTAACAATGCAGTGCTAGCACATAAGTTTCTGAGCTCATTCTCACCAAGCTGAACATCCAATAGCACTTTTTTTTCTCTTGCTGAAGCTATATTTGGCTTATGAGTAATTTGGCTGTATATTGTAGGCATGGTGCAATTCTAGGATTGGCAGTACTTCTCGTTCCTGGCCTGTTGTAACTGTTGTTGTCCAATACTGTCTTTTGTTTAATCAGTACAAGGTTGTGTCTTGTGAGGGACGGTGCTAGTGTGCTTTGGAATCTGGGTGCGTACCGGTCATGGAAAACCTGGAAATTCATGGAATTTGATTTTTAATTTTACAGGCCTGGAAAGTCATTGGATTTAATTTCAGGTCATAAAGTCATGGAACAAAAGGAGTTTTGATTTCCCTCAATGAGGTTGATGCTGGTTACATGGCCAGGACTGTGATAAAAAGACAGCTTGCAGACAAGAAGACAAGTGCACTGCAAGTTCTTACTTTTAAGACACAAGTGTGGGACTTCTTGCAGGCTGTAGTCAAAAAGCTACTGGACAAGAGCCCTATCAGATATGTCCTTGGTAGGAACCTGAGATGTCTGGTGCCAAAAGTCTTCATCAAGGACTGTATGGAAGCCAACAAGACACAGTTGAAGAACTGTTTCACTTTGCTTGTTGATGCCAAGAGATTCCCTAACACAGATGTCGATGGTGTTTTGCAATGAGATGTGCAACTTTAGAGATGAATCACATTGCAATGAACTGAACACACAGTTTCAAGCATTTTCAACTTCTGATCGACTGGACACTTTTTGGCATCTGTGAAAGAGCACCTACAAGAAGCTCTGGAATTTAGTGCAGATGCTCATGCTCCTGTCTCATGGCCAAGCCACGGTTGAAAGAAGGTTTTCATTCAACAAGGAAATTGTGACGCACAATGTGAAAGAGTGAACGGTGGTTGCCCTGCGTGCTGTGGTTGATCATGTTGCACATGGTGGCCTGGACAAGATGACCATCACCAAGAAGACGCTGCTTGCAGCCGAGAGTGCCGAAATGGCCTACAATAACTATTTGGCAGAAGAGAAAGAGAAGAATGCAAAGGCCCAGAAAACCCAGAAGAGGAAGGCTTTGTTGAATGAGCTAGATGAACTGAAGAAGAAAAGGTGTACGGAGGAGGGCATCAAGGCACTTGAGCAAGCAATGGAGAGAGAGGGGGATTTGCAGAAGCAATGGAGAAAGGGGTATTTGAAAATGATCTCAAAATTCAACGCTATGAGGCAATCTTTGAAAACAAAGCTAGACACTCTTGAACTGAACATTAAAGAAAAAGTTGATGAAATAGCTGCCAGTTGAATGTTAGGGTAGTGCTGTTGAAGAGTGTTCTGAACTGCATTGACATTATCATGCACAATCATGTGTGCATTAATTAATATTTGTTGTGATTTTACACTATTGAATTCATAATAATACCAGTGTGGGCTCGATTTTTAGATGGCATTTTTGTTCCTCTGCATCTGCCTTCTCTATGCATTTACATGTTTGCTATTTATCAACTGTAGGAGATGATAGAATATGCGCAGTTAGTCTTTCAGCCATGCTAAACCTGTCATATAAGAGTCATGGAAAATTATACTGATGGTCATGGAGAGTCATGGAAAAGTCATGTAATTTTTTTTTCTGAATACCAGTACGCACCCTCTGAAATGATCCTTTGACTGGTCTGAAATCTCAAAATACTAGGTTCTTTTATATTAACTATAGAATTGCAGCATGATTGCAGAAAAGGTTTTGGCATATATCTATACTGCTAAAAGGTGCAATTACATTATTGGAATAAATTGGAAATTTCATGCTATATTTGTTACATGACCTTGTAGGCTTGTACTAGAAGCTGATAATTTTTTTCTTTCAAAGATTTTGAAAAGAAGCAAAGCTCATTTTGGAGACAGGATGATTTGAATATGGCTGTTGCATCATTCAAGTGATAAGAAAATAATAATAACTTGCTCAATAATAGCTCACAAATAAGATCTATTGTATGCTTATCCTACTTTCAGGTATTCCAATAAAAAAATATGTGTACTTGTTTGTATATTATATACCCTTTACATATTGCATGCTTGTTACTTGCATGGGGGTGGATTTGCTTGAGTTACTCTAGTTTGGTCATTGTGTTGCACTGACAGTCTTGAGGCCAGAAATTTTGTCATTATTGCTGAAGGTTAATAAACACTGACCAAAATGGGCATCTATACTTTTGTGGCTGTTTTGGGAAACATTTCATTTATTTAATTTGGCTCCTTGGATATGTCTATTCTTAATTTGGTATTATTTAGCCTTTTTTCATTGTAGTGCTGATTGTAATATGTAAATATATGCCTACATGCTGCCTAGGAGTGAATATGAGGAAAATCTGAAATGAAACCATTCATAATCCATGCAAATGTCTTAGCTAGTTTGTGTGTAAATGTGTTCTTTGGATTAAAATGTGTTCTCAGCAATATTATTTTAGCATTTAACACATTTTTTGATGTATTCTTGTTTTAAACATTTTTGCATCACTTTTAATGTAATGTAAAAGCCCAAACTATAATCTGAAAACTCGTGGAACTTTTAAATGAAACTTGATTCATTTGTTATCTAGAGGCATTGGTAGCATCAAAAAGTCTATTGTTAATTATAGTTAAATGTTCAACTTTAAAGGTGTGCTAAATCATAGTGTAT